TTTTATTTAATAAATGAAATATAAATAATAAATAATAAATGAATGAATAATAATTTAATATATGAAATAATAAAAAGAAAGATAAATAATAAAGAAATATGATGTATTTAATATATAATATAATTTATTATCAAATATAATAATAATATCAAATGATGAATTATTTTTATTTCAAAATATTTTGCATCAATAAAAATGTTGCTAAATAATTTGCATCATTAAATTTTGCATCATTAAATTTTGCGCTTTTTTTATTTGTTTCAATAAAATTTGCATCCTTTATTTTTTTCTTTCTTTTCTTCTTTTATCATCTCTTTTGTTTTATTACACTTTATCTTCTTTCTTTTTATCTTCTCTCCTTTCTACTTTTATTCTTTCTTCATCATATTCTACTTCTTACTTTCTTTTTATTCTTTTATATCATTCATTCTCTTCTTTTTCTATTATTTGCTTTTTTTCGTTGCCTTTTCATTTTATCTTGTGAATTTAGTGGTTTATTTGAAATTAATTGTCATTTCATTTATTATTATTCTTGATATTTAATGATTAATGTATTTGATTAAACATTATTATTTATGAAAATAAAATTGTTTGTTTAATTGTATTATTTTCTGTTTGTTTATTCTTCTATTTATCATTTGTTTTGATATTATGTGTCTTTTGTTTTATTATTTGATTTATTTGAACATCGTGTATAGTATAAAAATATATTTGAGATAGAAATAAGATTAGATGAAATTTGAACGATGTTTGAAAATAATTATAATTATTTTATTTTTAGTTGTTAGTCTATTTTTATGTTTATATCATCAATAACATCTTTTTCTATTTTTTGCTTTTATTATCTTATATTCATATTTATGTTCTTTATTGTCTATTTTAACAGTAACTCTATCTTCATTTATCTCATTCTATTTTACTATTTATTTTACTATTTATATTATTTGATATTGAAGTTGACATAAATATTGAAAATAGTTCTTCTTAAGCATATCTAAGTTTTAACTGACTATATATTTTACTTTTCTTTTATTAATTATAACATATTAATATGTTCATTTTACATCTCTTTGTATTTATACGGATATAAACCTATTGTATTAATAGGATATATACTCTAGAATCAACTCGGTTTTATTTTATTTTATTAAAAATAATTCATGTTTTGCTGGAATAACAAAATAAGATAAAGAATTAATTGATAAATATGGATTGAAGAAATAACCATAAAACAAATCATTATCCTCTCGAAATATAAGTATTTAGAGTGTGAAATTAATTACAGAGTAAAGAACGAATGATGCTTCAAATAAATAAAATATAGTTTATTAACAATAAAACATATCTAAATGAAAGAAATCAAAGAAATAAACAAAAATAAGAATTATTTTATTCATAACTTTCAATTTTATTGTAATGTTTGAAGTAAGAAGTTGAAAATAATAAAAGAAAAAGTTGAGTAATTGCATTAAATGAATAAATAACAAATAATAAGTAAATGGAAAATAATTATTTGTTTTTGCTTATATTATTCTTAAGAAATTCAAAACAAGCAAAAATACAAAAAAATAAATATCAACTAATTTAAAATAAGGTATTAAGAAATTCGATGTCTTATAAAAATTCTTTATGAAGATACTTTATACTATGAGTTTACTTCATGTACGTATAATAACCAGAAGTTTGTACAGAGTTTAACATGACAAAAACAAATTAGAAACAAAGAGTATTATCAACGTCAGTTTTAGATTAAAGAGGTTTGAACCAAACTTGACAATTAAATTGGTTATGAAAAGTTATGTTATTCAAAGTAAAGATGTGGAACATTTCTTTAAGTTTCAATCTAATTACTTAAATTATTTAAATTATTATTTTATTTACCTTTATTATATTAAAAAACTAAAAAAATAGAAAAGGAACTTAAAAATTGTTTAATGAAAAGCATAATATTTGTATTCTTTATCATTTATTGTCTTGGTCAATCTGCTAAACAACTAAAAAATAAACAACGAAATTCAATTGGAAGGAACCCTGATTCATTAAGAAAAGAAAAAGGAAATAAAAAAAGTATTGGTAAAGAGAAAATTATTGAACAAAAAAAGAGTCTTCCTCAAGTAGCAATGTCATTCAGTAGAGAAGAATTATTTGATAAAAGTCCACATGAATTATCCAATGCTTATGTAAGAATTTATCAAGCACTTGGAGAAGTAATGAGAATGAGCCATCAATATAATGTTATTGATTCTGAAAATCAACGAGGGGTTGGATATATATCACATATGCTTGGTCATATTGCACAACAATCAAATAAAGAGTTTGTTGTTTTTATGGAGTATTTAAGTTAAGTAAATTATTAAATTAATTTTTATAGACTCGATTCACAAATTACATCAGTTATTTTAAATAAAATTAAGTCTCATGAAGAAGAAACTCAATCAATTCAAAGTATGACAAATGAAGTTTCTACTTATGCTCAAAGTGCTGCAAGTAAAGTTGCAAAGTTTGAATTAAAAATGAAAGAAGCACAAAACATTCAATCAACTCCTACTTTCATTTATATTATTGCATTCTTATTACAAATACTGACTGGTTATTTCATTTACATCATTATTTCCAAAAGAAAAATTCATCTTTAATTTATATTACTTTAATAATGAATTTTTTCTATTTAACTAAATTGGTAAAGACTTAATTTTTTTTTTTTATTTTTTCAATTTACATATTATTATTTTATAAAATATTTGTAATATACAATATTCATAATTTCTTAATTTAATTTTCTAATATATAATGTAATTTCTTGAAAATTTGAATAATTTCAGTATTGGTTCAATAATCGTAATGTCTTAATTATCACTGCATGTTATGAATTAGTGATTATAATAATAAATAAATAAAACAAATAAATTTTATTTTGAAGAAAGAAATGTTTTTGAACAATGGGAATAATTTTGAAAATACTTTTTAATAAAACTTCTTATAGGTACTCGAAATAAGTTTTTAAGACAGTTATTTTTAATACTTTTTGATAATAAATTGATTCTAAGTTTCATATCTAATCAATAAAAATATCTTTTAAAATTAAAATAAAAGTAAATAAAAATATTTTTTTTATTGTTTCGATAATCAAAAATACTGATTATAATTTATGAAGAATTGCTTCAATTTGAGGTATAATTTGCTGTGACATTTGGTGGTGCCCTTCTACACTTGGGTGGTTTCTAAATCCCCAAAATGAAGGATTATTTTTGTCAATAAAAGTTTCAATATAAAATACATTCTTCATTGTATGAACAAACTCTAATGATATTTCTTTTATATATTCTTTTCCATGACCTGAAATAACTGGTCCTTCAACAATAAAGAAAAGAAGGTTTGAACCATATTCATTGAAGTATAGTTGAATTAAATCTTTCATTGCATTTTTAAAATTAAGGTCAAACATATTATCAGCTTCTATTGCATAGTCATTTGTACCAATATTGAGAAAAACATATTTTGCATTCCAATCACTAATATTCCAATGACTTGTTTCATCTGTTGCAATACAACGATGAATTATAACAGGTAATTGATTAGTAGTAACGTTATGATTACTCTTTAACACTCCAATACCACTCCATGAGGTGGTCATATAATCACAATGAAGATAATTTGCAATATCTACACACCAAGTTTGTGAACTATCAGTTTCAAATTCAGAATTATGTCCAATGTTTCCATATCCACAAGTAAGAGAATCTCCAATAAACTCAATATGTGGTAGTTTTTCTTTATGAATAGGCTCAATACTTCCAGTAATAATACCAACAATATCAACTTTACTCGAACGTGCCTCAGTAACTTTAGTTAACTGAATAACTTTATTTCCTGGTAATTCAAGAGTAATGTATTTACTTTCGAACGGATTCATAGGAATTACTTGAGTAAAAGTATTATCATCTACTCTAATTTTTAATCTTACAAATCCAGTGAGATAAATTAATAACGTGGTTTGTTGAATTGTCTTAAATAATATTCCTGTGTTGCAAAAATCAAAAATAACATGACCATCTTTAACTAAGACTCTTCCATTTTTATATATTTGATGTTGTTGAATACCAACGACTGAAGGTACATTAATAATTTCTTTAAGTTGTACTTCTAAAAAGTAAATAATAATTGACTATGTAACAAAATATAGAAATTTAAAGTTACCAAACGCTCCATTATGATAAATCTAAGATTTATAAGAAAAAAAAAACAAAAAAACAATTATTCAATAATTAAAATCATTTTATTATAGTATCTATCTTTGATTTGTACCTCCATATATTTAATTGAAAAGGTTCTTTAAAACTATGTCATTGGTTATTTTTAAAATAATTAAATATGTTAAGATAAACCTACTAATTTAAGGATGTGCTAGGTTATACCCATTTTACAATAAGCATTTATTCAACTTTTTCTCTAATATAGTTTGGATTACTTACAAAAGCATCAGGATATTCACCTTCTGGAATAGTCTTATATACCATACTACTCCATTTTCCATCCTCAGATTTGAAATTTAAATCTAATGCTGTGTGATAGAAAATGCAAAATATGCCGTAAGAATATTACCATAATCGTTTTTACTTAAGTCATAACGTTTATTAGTAAAGTTCACTAACTCTATAAAACATTTTTTTGCCATCCTTTATAAATTGATAAATCTTAAATGTACTATCATAATTCAATCCATTATCAATTTGAGGTTTTTGACTTGAGAATCTAGCAACACAACTGTGTTTTGTCAGAATAAATAAAAACATATTGTCATTTTGAATTGCTTCAATTATTTGCTTTCTAGTATTTCTTGTTTCAATTGTTTGATTTATTGCCGAGTAATAAAATAATTCTTGTGACATTTTGTGAAAAACTCATTCATTAAGTCTTTTCATATAACCAATTGCTGTTGACTTAAATGAATTTTTTAAATTTTGGATTGAAACATCTCGAGTAGTTAGGTGGTGATTATAGAACTCCAGATCAATACTAGGATCTTCATTTTCACTACTCGTTAAGATTATCATTGTTAGTACTTGAACCCTCAATAACGCTTTGATTTAAATCCTTTTATATAGCAATATACTTCGAATGGTATTAATCAACTCACCTTCTTCTGAAAAATTAGTTTTATTAAAAGAAGTTGTAGAATGGGACTTTTGTGACTGAATATTTTTTATCACAAAAACCATTTGAAAAAGAACTTCTAACACAAAATCGAACATCTTTTTGATTAGAACTTCACTGTGAGTCACAAAATTTGTTCCAAATTTTTCTATTAATTTGTGAATGGTATTGAGATTGTTTAAAATAGTGTTTATTTCTATGTTTTCCTAACAATAATTACAAAAAAAACATCTTTTAATGATATGTTTTCTTTGTTTAGTAAGTTCTCTTTCAGAGCTCTCTCTTGAACATCTCACCTGTAATCGTATATTGGAATATTTTGTTGTTTAGCTGAGTTATACATTCTATCAGAATCATTAGAAATCATATAATCTGAGGAATAATTCTCTTTCATTTTTTTTGAAAAGTTTCACTAATGGGTCATGCCTCTGTTTGTAGTATTGAGAAAGATGTTTGATTCATTAATAATAAAATGACACTTATGAAATCTTTAAATATAAAACTTTCATTTAAAAAAAAAAAAAAATAAAAAGAAAAAGAAAAAAAGTGATGAAGAAATGATGTTAAGTAAAAATATCCTAAAAATAAAGTATTGTTGAAAAAAAAGTTCAGAGTAACTTTAAAAAAAAAGAAAATGATATTTTTATTTTAAAGAAATAATAAAATAGAAAAGAATATCGTCACCTAAACGTGTCATTTAAAAGGATAAAACAATTAAGGGATATTCCCGATTTAATAAAGTAGAAAAAGAATCAGATAAACTTCAAAGTGTTAACTACTGAAAATGGTAGCATTTCAAAATAGAAGAAGAAAAAAAGCAGGTTTTAAGCGATTAAGTTGGTAAAAAAGAAACAAACAGGCAAATTTCAAGGAATTTCAACTCACTAATTACAACCAAAATAGCTTTTATTTTTGAGACATTTAAGAACTTGTCAGTGTCTAACTAAGAATTAAACTATTCATTTATGTCAGACAATTCAGAACACTCTCATTCTACTTCACAATCAACAAAATCATCAATGTCTTCATCTTCAACTGTAAGCTCAAATGAAAAAGAAAACCAACAACAAGTAGAAACACCTGTTTCTCAAGAACCAACACCATCACCAAGACCTGTTGTTGTTGAAGAAAAACCAGAAACAC